TCGTCAACTACGGTGACGACTAATATTCCACATAAGGTCAAGACGCAGTCTTAACAGCATCGTGGTCTCGATCGTTTCCTTCGTGGCATGTTATGACTTTGCTCGTCTTCGAATTGATGTCTTGTACATTCTACATGAAATTGGGGAGTTGGCATGGTATTTGTACGGATTGTAGAAAACTACGATTGATCGTGTGTTTTCAATCACTGCGATTGAAAGCAAACCCAGTTACTTACAAGCACAGTTTACGAGTAAATACTCAATCCTGCTGAGCATCTTTCACCAACTGTTCCAACTTTGATCGACTGTACCGAGGAACGACACGCAGCGGGACTCGTTCGTGTTTTCTCATTAACATAACGAGAGTAAGTGCGCGTGAAACTGTGCAAAATCAACAAAACCCACCTCGTAAGCCCCGTGATCCACTGAGGAACCGGGTCGATCTCCACGCCATTCTTATCTTTCGCCTTTTCAAACGTATATGCCGCCAGCAGCGAGGCGGTAGCAATCCAAGTGGATGCGAAGGCCGAGTGTCGGCCCGGGCAGATGCGCCGGCCCCATCCAAAGGTGAACCGCACGTCGTCGCCGTTGAGCGCGCCGTCTTTCGTCAGGAACCTTTCTGGCCTGAACGCCTCTGGATCGGGATATCGACGGGGATCACGAGACATTCCCCTGTTGGGCATAACGTGAGTCGTGTATCCAGTTTATTCTCTTTTGGGATGCCTACCAAATATTTGCGATTATTATTGAGCCTGCTCCGTGTACGATTATCTCAAAGCGCTGTATGTCTCAACTTGTTCACTGACCTTTAGGGATGAGGTATCCATTGTACACATCTTCTTCCGTGGAGACGTGAGGGAAACCTATTTGTCGTCAGAGCCCATCCTGGGATGTGCCATGGAGGCCCGCAAGAAAGACAACACACCGAGAGGAGCAACCGGCATCAGGAAAACGGCACATTGCTTATGAGATCTGATGGGACTTATAACAAGCTTATTACAGCTTTTCGGCACCTGTGTACTTAGGACAGAATCGGATAAGTAGCACGACTTTCATAAGTGCGGATCAAATCGCCGGGCCTCCATAAGCACCCTTATTTCTCGCAAGCTCCAGATCGTTAAGAATAAGTGCATTGAGGTTGAAAAAGGTGTTGCATAAGTAATACGAGAGGGCATAAACAGTGGTAAAGGACATAAGTAGCATACTGAACTAGGCAATTTCGAATGCATGGTGGTCGGCATATCGGTTAACGTAGAAAAGCTCAAATGAATCTAGAGACTGATGGCAAGTCATCTCCTTAGGTACGAGTTGCTCTCCGAAGAAGGGGAGGAGATGGGCGGCTCGGACGAGCGAATCAACGTGTAAGACTTCGACGTGCTTTGATCCGGTGCTGTTGAACGACGGCCGTACCATGTACATGCCTGTCTTATCGTCGCGAGCGTCGCCGTACCAGTTGTACCAGTGCACGACGACGCACGGATGCACAATGTCTTGATGTTTGAACGAGAAGAACGCGAGGACGCGCGCAACCTCCATCGAGAAGATCCCGGCGACGTCCGGCTGCGTCATGATAAATGCAGTGTCGTAACGAGCCGCCTCCCCTCGCCATACTGGCGTGGAACGAATGCGCTCGCGTCTTAGTCCCGAGGAACCGCACAAGTCGCTTGGGGCACGAAATACGGACACGGCGGAGTCGTAGACTCGGAGTTTGTCAGGGATATTAGGAAGGTCTTGAGGGGGTACTGAGCGAGCGGTGCGAAGTGTGACGTTGGGGTGGAGTTGGGAATAAAGGAAGCGACGTGTTAGGCGCCTGATGTTTGGAACGTTGATTTCGTCGGCGAGATCCTGAAAGGTACGCGAGCGGGCTGGATCTAATGGTGATTATTAGTATACACTCGATTGCGAGGGATATGCTACGCACTGGATTTTGCCGCCAAATTCACTTCTGCCATCAACGTAGTCCCGTCGATCTGAGGCTCATCCTCGCACTCTTCCACCGAACGTGACCTAGGCTCGTGAAACTGTAACGCGTTTTCAGGAGCTGGAGGCGGCTCTTGAAAGTGATTACCCTCGGTAACTATAGAAAGAGATGAGTGTGATGCCGTCAACTGGAAAAACTATCTACTTACGATCCTGAAGAGCACGAAGCGGGGCAGGAAGGAATATTGGATTGAGCATGCCGCGAGCAGCAAAGTCAATGCGGATAGCCTTCAACTTGTCAAGGCGCTGGTTTGTGACCAACATTTGCCCGAGAGCGTCGAAGCGGCTCGAGCGCCGCCACGGTTCTTTGACGGCTTCGATATGTTTTGACTCGGTAATGGACGAGCAGAGGCCATTCGGGGCCCCATATTGCCGGATGAGGTGGATGTAGTGGACGAGTGAATGCTGGCGGGGAAGAGAGAGGGACGCAGCAACGCCGGACTCCTCAAAAATGGTCCTGTGATGGTGGAACTCTGCTAGTGCGCGCTCGAGCTCGGTGATGTCCGTGTCGGTGAGAGTGTTGCGCCGGACTATGTAACAGAACTCGAGGAATGCGCGAACAGCGCGGACCATGTCGTCGGGAAGGTGGTTCTCGATAGCAGGTAGGTATACCTAAAATACGAGGTTAGGAAGCGCAGTTTGCATAGAGAAATTGAACGTACTTTCATCAACGCCTTCGAGTCGTCTCCTGTCCACTGCTTGAAACCTCGACCTTGAGGGAATCGTCGTAATCCGGCAAATGGGGCAGCTATAGCAATCCTGGAAGAAACTAAGGAGATATTCAAATGACGCAATCTCGAGTGACATACCGGCGGTCTATGTCAGCTAATATCTTCTTGTACTCGCGCTTCGGATAGCTGGCCTTGAGGTACTTGGTGACCCAGTCAACAAGGTGATCTTTGAACGTTCCTTTGATTAGCTGATGTAGGATATCGGGGGCAATAAGTTCGTGGATGTCGGCGCGCGGAAAATCATTCGTGAAAGGCTACGTGAGGGTAAGGATACTATAAAGAGTAATAGATAAGAAAGAGCGCACCACTACGTTTGATATGATCCCGTATGTATCCCACAATGTTCCTGGATGCAACTCTTCAACGAGTGCTTCGGTATGTTCGCGGCACCGGCGTAGTGCACCACCATCAAGCTGTTGGGGACGTGCGAGACACCTGCGGAGACATATAAGAAAAGGGATCATGTTAACAAAGAAGTGCTTACCGGGGACACCACCCTTGGACGACGCCAGCAAGAAGGACTTGCTCGGGGTAATCAGCGATGTATGGTCCAACACCCCATATGACACGGCGATGATACCCGTCGCCAAATCGGATCACCTCGGGACATGTCATGCCTGGCTTGAAGACTTGAAGGATTGTGGAGATAGATGTGTGGTAGAGTTGGCGGCGGAAATGACGGAAGTGAGGGTCGTCGGAGCACGTTTCGTCGGCTGAAGTTTGATGAGTTCTTGATGAGTTCAACTGCTGCTCAAAAAGAGGTCGACAACGTACTTTTCGGAACTGATAGAAATCCAACAAGAGCGACAGCGTTACAATGAGCGCGTCGAGTAGAGTTATGGATGTTACCGGGGGAAATATAAAGAGGATAATACTCTGATTGGCCGGTTGCGACAGACACTGTTGTTTTGTCACTACCCAACACGAAGGGAACAAAAGTTGCCCCGTGAGTGTGCACGTCATTGGCTATCCTTGTCTGTTGCGAATCAGTATTTGGTACATATCAGATATTGGTTTTGCTTACCGCCTGGTCCCATGCCCAGTCACCCGAGAAGAGATTTCCGTACTGTCGAATTCCTGTGCTGTCGTAGTCGCGGTAGGGGGTCAGGTCAATGTCGTCTTTGAGGTCCGGGCGGCCGAGGATATTCTTGAGGATCTCACGTGGGTCGCGGAACCAGACATCATATGATGCCTCCATCCACGAGGGTATGGCACGCTCGGGTCGTGGGCCTTGGTATGTGACGTGAAATGACTGCCATGCGACATCTCCATTCTCGATGCCATCAATGGCCTCGTACATCTTGGTATGGTCAACACACAATGGTGGAGCGTTATGCTCTGCGAGACTTGCAGCCCAGATCTTGCAGAGGGCGTCAATGTGGGTTGCTGACATTTGAACGCGTCGATAGCAGAGGTCGGCTGTCTCGAATTCGAGTTGGTTACGAAAAGGGAACCAGTCCCCTTTCGGCCGACTTGGGGGTGGAGATGGAGGAGCATCCGGTGGTAGAGAGTCACCGTCAGGCGAACATTTCCGAGCTACAGGTAGTCATGTCAGTACGAGTTTCGAAGACTGAGAGTACAAGCACATACCGGTCAAATACTTGTGGAAGAGGCGTTGTAATGGCCCCATGTCAACCTGTTCACCGATGGCATGGTCAACATCTGCTGCTGATGTGTCTTCTTCACGAGGCGAGGAAGGTGGTGTTCTATTATCCTTGTGGCTCTCGTCATGGTTTTCGGTGGCACTGAAGACGATTGGAGACAGGAAGCGGGGCGGAGAGGAAGAGGGCGGGAAGAATGGAGGTGGTGTGAATGGCGGAGGTGGGGGTGGGGGTGGTGATGCTGATGCTGACAGTGGTGGTGTCGGAAGTGAGGGAGGTGGCGAAGGTTGTGGCTGAGAGTGGGGCTGAAGCGGAGGCTGGCTGGCCAAAGGAGGTGCTGGAACATGCCAGCGGCGCGTGCGGATGATGCGACGGTGGATGAGGTTGTTATGCTGAGTGAGTCCGCCCTTGCTCCTGGCGTAGAAGTCACACCCTTCGATTGTGCAAGCGTACCGCGAGGGGGCCATGGTGGTGGTTCGGGAGTACGGAACAAAACGGAAGCAAATTGTTTGCTGTTCGGTGCGGGTTGACCGGGCGGTGCTGAATAATTGGCAAATTAGTGTCACAGTGACTTGGTTGACCTTTGAACACGTACAGTCACACAACCACTGAAATTTTCTTAATGGCCAACACCGCTGAACGTCGAACTACCCGCTCTGCTACCAGCAATGTTATCACCCCCACAGCTTCAAGTTTGCCACCGGTCACCCGTCATCGCAAGCACAGCACTGCAAATGAAGCCAACGAAATCAATGTCGGGCTCGGCACAAACACTGTTCAAAAACGTACAGCACCGCGCGAGAAGTCCACTCCTTCCGCTGGAGCGTCAGCTGCTCCGAAGATTCCAGCCTTGAAGAAAGGTGTAACACCTCAGGCTGCCGAACTCGTGGCAGAGCTTGAATCGGCCATGGCCATCACACAGGCGCTGAAGACACGACCTGGACCCAAGAAGCCGCTCAGTCAGCTCGCAGCCATCACTTTACAGCCAACTAACCCACCTTCAGCTGCACATGCAGAGCATGTGGTGGTGAAGCCGGCATCGGTTGTGTCGGCTGCGGCTGCAAGACGTCGGGGAGAACAAGGTCAGCTTTCAATCTTCAGCGCAACGGAGTACTATGAGCTCACGTTTCTCTAGTCGGGCAGGTCATGAGGGTGAGGGAGAAGGAAAGGACAACAGGAGCCAAGAACGCGAGAAGCAGCAAAGCGGCCAACAAAGCCGGCATCAACGTCAACCCACGCGCTGCTGAGAATGGCAATGATTGTGATGTTGAAACACCGTGAGTCAGCTGCTTCTGCTTCTTCGTGTGTTCATCAATTAATTGTCTCCGCTTTGCCCTTGCCTTGAACCGCATGCTGCTCCTCACCGAATCCACCATGTACTATCGCAATCTGGTGCTGGCAATGTACAGCACACCTGCCACATTCGACACCCTCAATCCCCGAATCAAGGTGTGGAGCACCAACGTTTCCCGGTCCAGCCCGACAGATACATCACGAGCAAAGTCCACTGTTACCTCCACTAGTCGCAAGAGTGCTCTCACGACTTCATCCTCCGCCACCTCTCTCTCAAGTTCTACCAGCGCCCACCAGTCAAAGCCTGTTACCAAACCCGCTCCAACCGCCTCCATAGCTGAAATATCCCAAGAACCCCCGCACTCACTCCGCGATGAGGACGATGAAGCTGGCATTCAGTGTGAGGCTGCAGCTATGCGGAGCCACAATGGGCGGACCTTTCAGGTGATGTTTGTTTTTCTGTCATGGCTGATGACCATCCGCAGCTGATGCTTTGCCAGGCGTCGGTAGGAATCATACGAACCTCTAGTCCATCAAGTACCGAGCCTGGGCTGCCTTTCACGCAGAGGCCTCAACACCCCCGCTCTATCGGTACTTCCCAGCCCGCTACATCTTCCAAGAAGAGGCCTCTGCCGTCATCATTTGATGAGCCCTCCGAAAATGAGGTCTCCGGAGCAGAGGATGTAAGTGCATCTTTTTGGAGGTCATAGCGTTGTATTAACCCCTGGGCCTGTTACAGCTCGAATCCTACGAGCCGCCTTTTGGCGACAGCGAGGATGACGAGCCCGGCAGTGACGAAGAAGCCGAAGTTGATCACAACCGCGACGACGGCACCAAACGCAATTGTGATGAAGATGCCGAACGTGATCGCAATGAGAACGCTGAACACGATTGCGACGAGGGCGCGAAACAAGATGCCGAACTCGATTGTAACGAGGACGCCGGATGCGATTGTGACAGGGACGCTGAACGCGATCGCGATGAAAGCACCGAACTCAATCGCGACGAGAGCGCTGAACTCGACCACAACGAGGATGGCGACCAAGAAGAACAAGACGTCGAGATGGTCGACAACGCCGCCGTGTCCGAGGAAGTGACCGATACAGCAGCATACGAAGCCGCCGCTGGTGCTGAGGGAGATCAGCTTATGGACAGCATGGGCGCTGACGACGCGCCTGCATCACACGAGGGTGTCAAGGGCGTGGATGACAATGAGCAGGAGGTGGAGATAGTTGCTCACTTTGGTCCCTCGCGTCGTGTTGGGCGTACTACAGCGTCTGTGAGTGTATTTGATCCTTTCATCCGCAACTGAGTTCATTAACACAGCCTCTATTCTACAGACAGCTGCAAAGGCTTCAAACCCCATCGCGCACCGCGCCAAACGCGTCAAGCCAACACATTCATCCAACAACCCTCCTGCAAACCGCAAGAAGGCGAGCGGCAAGCCCAAGGTTACGGACCTGCCACGTGAATGCCAGGAGTCGAGGGCGTTCGGCACGCGTCTAATGCCTACGCTTGCCCTGTGGATGGGCTGCTCGTCAAAACCATGGAACCCTCTCGACGAAGAGATTGAAGAGGCATGCGCAAACATCTACCGGGTGGTGTTTGACCGTGAGTTTTCGGACCTGTCTCTTTCTGAGCAGTCGGCTGTCCTGAGTATTGTATGTCTTTTATTTTTTCTGATCCTCCTCCCATCGCTGACGCTATCACGTTTAGGCTTGCGAGCGGTTATGTATATGGCGCAACAACTTCAGCTCCACTGCTGTTGCTGCCCTTCTCGTGCTGTTGGGCAGCCGTGGCCTTTCCTCAGATGCAGAACGTGTTGCATTCGCCAAGCGGCTTCTTGTCCAAACTGCCTTTATGTATGAGAAGATTGAGAACGGTAAACCCACCAACCTCTTCGAAGGCTCGTATTTTGTCATTGTCCTCTCATCCCATTACGCGTTCATCAAGGGGCATGTCGACGTGCCCGAGTTCCAGGACCTCATCGAACCCGATTACCTCCCTTTTGCGGCCTACTCGCTCGCAGCAGCAGCCGTAAGTCTCACATACTTCATATTTCATTTTACTAATCTAATTTTGGCTAGTGCGTTCGCGCGATTCAGGCGACCGTTGATGGGAAGATGGCCAACGTCGAGAAGACGATCACACTCATTGTCAATGCCGGATGTACCCCGGAGAGTGGGTGGGGCGGTGTCAAGCGGGCAAAGGGAGTCATTAGCCAGGCCAATCGCAAGCCAAGGTCGGCGAGGAAGGGTAGAGGCAAGAAGACCACAGCGGCGGCATCAGACGTGTCTGCCGAATCCGACTCTGTGACCAGCTCGGCCCCCTCTTTTTCCGAAGCAAACTCCGGGGCTGTCACAGCCGGATTCTACGCATCCGTCATGCGATGTGCCGAGTCTGAAGACGCGTGGCGCCTCAAGAACAGCTGGGAAGCTGCTGCCGCGCAGGTAAACACTTCCGAAGAGGACGAGGAAGAGAGCGACGATGACAGCACCGACAAGGTCAATCTCGGCCCGTACGGGCAGCTCAGGATCCAATGTACGTCCCTCGCCCACCCTATTGACCAGCTAGTACTCTCAGCTCATGCACCATTGTTAGGAACGCTACCAGGCAGGGACGTCGGGGCTGGTAGGCGATACTACATCAATATTACTATTACTATTGTAGACTTTCATTTCTGCATAATCGTAATCGACGCGCTTTGTTCTGATATAAGACGTGTGATAAGCACATATAAGTAGTACATCGAGCCGTCCATAGTCACATATCACTATCATAAGTCAGACAATCTTACCAAAAATACAGCAACCACGCGTTTGTGACTTAAGTAAAACATTCACGTACTTCGTCATAAGGGCAGGGGCAAGCAACCCCCTGCTTTTCATAAGGGTATAAAAGCGATGTTTTAACTTATGAATGAGAAAGTCCTTACCAGTGGCAAGCGGACGCTGAACTTATCGCGGGAGCACTTATTTCCGGGCTACTTCCGGCTAAGCGGCGCATAATTTCCCGATAAGGCAGCTGTCGTTTTCCTGATGCTCGGGCACAAAGGCAGCATCGTGTGTAATATTCTTCATGTTGTGCGTCCACACCATGAGCGCCCCTCGTCCGGCACTTCGCCCAATGAAGTCGTGTCTGATCAGGTACTCAGTCTAGCACCGCAGACAAAGTATCAATGCGAAACGACGTACCCAGTGTTCTTGACGACCATCCGCAGGTCATGCGTCACCGAGAAGTTGACCGCAGCCTGGATGTCCGCAGGCGTGCGCGCGTCCACGGCGATAACGGGCACATTTCCCTGGTCACATGCACCCGTGATGTTCGTCTCTGGATAGCAAGCCGCGATGGTGCCATTCTGGAAGATGTACGACTCCCAATTGGGAGCCTCCATGCTGCCGACCATGTCCGAACGCCAGGGGCCGTTGGTGTAGTTCGCGATGACGTCGCTGCAGTCACTCGATGCGCCTGACGTGGAGTAGCATTGAGAGGCGGTGGGTTTGGGGTAGAGGAGAGGCTGGGAGAGGAGAGACTGGAGCTGGGAGAAGTCGGAATCGCTCGGCCAGCAGGACTGTCCATATACGCAACGGCACTGAGACGCGGAGGCTGCGTCGAGGCTGGCTATAGAGAAGAATCCGGCCGTGAGGGTGGATAACTGTAGTTTCATGCTGAATTGTCCTAGCGGTGAGAGCGACTCTAGAGGTCAGCGAGATGGAGTCCACCAGAGGAGCGTGGTGGAATGGGAGAGAAAGATGGGTGTTTGACGAGCGCGGTCATAGTTAATATTACTTTTCCAAGATATGCTGTATTGAACAGACGCAGTCGCCGTATGACAGACGCGCTGCGCCATCAGGGCCGCATGCGCCCTCGAAAAATGTGA